TTTTTGCGATCTCATGCATGCATGAGCCTGGCTGCATCAGCTTCAGACCTTCTCCATATGGAATTGACATTTCTGTTGCACAACTACATATGATGTGGTTCTACACACTCAGCCTTTGGACAGAATCGACTGGAATTGCTTCTATTCATATCAGATTTCACACTTTCAGGACTTATGCTGCTGTTGCAAAGCCCTGGGCGACTGGACTTGTTGACATCCGTCATGGATTCTTTGAAGCTGGGCTCTTCCCTTTCCCTCCACAGTCTCGGTCGTTCTGAATTCAAAGTCTCAGCGTTTGGAAAAACGCAGCTGGGCCTCATGCTTCCTGTGCTGGACCTCTCGCATTTGGCGTTGTCGCCCTTGATCCAAAGCTTTTCGCAAGCTGATTTGGTCATGTTAGTCCTTGACCTTATCAGTCTGGGACTCTCTCTTCCTATCCGGTCTCTTGCACATCCTGACTTGGTCCCGTCCGTTTGCGACTTTTCACACATAGACTTCAGTCCTTTGCTCAGGAGTTTTGCTTGATCAGGTAGTCCGATTTCCATAGTGGATCTGACGCACATCGGTTTTTTCTTGTTTTTGCGCAGCCCGTCGCATTCGGGATCGACGCAGTCGATGCTGGGACTCTTCGCACTTGGATCATCATTGCCGTCGCGCCACACAGCTGAAGTGGTGGGGAAGTGGGAAGTGATGAAAGGTGATAATCAAAATGATCAAACTTGAACTAATGTGAACCAAGTAAGGTGTTGCAAATCTGGGGAATTGATAACGTAGCTATGGATTGAATGTCGACTGCGGACTCAACTGACTTAACAGTAACAGTGACTCTCGACATGATTTCTGGATATTTCTTGGGGATCGGATATTTTTTGATCGGGCGATGCTTAAAGTTCTCAAAATCACCTGGCAACGACGAATCTCAGGTTCCTTTGCATGCCTCGACCTGCTCCTGTCAGTCGAAGCCTGAGCAGATCGCGGAGCAGCAGTTGGGGTGTGATACACGATGTCACGATGTCATGTAATATACTTTAGCTGGAGCCGACCGGAATAAACAAGGGCTGTTACCATGCTGTACCATGCTGTACCATGCTGTACCATGCTGTACCATGCTGTACCATGCTGTACCATGCTGTAACACTGTCTTTCATCATCTTTAAGCTACAAAAAAACATATCTACCCCAAGGGACATTTTTGATGTCGATGTCAATGACCGTCAATTCTCGGATGGCCCGAGCTTTTTGTCTGTCGGGAGATCTCAGCCATTGCTCCCATTGGTCCCATTGGTCCCCAAGGGGCATCCCACAGTTATGGCCATTTATTAGCTATAACTGGTTATTTCTATGGGATTATACATTCTATAAATGGGGTTTTCTTAGTACTTATAACTTATAACTGGTATAACTCGGGCCTTGGCATCCTAGGTCTTGGACTGTGCTCATTTGGGCCCATCTCCACCGGTGCAAAGCTGGGCGCATCTTGGTCTTTCCGCATCAGTTCTGGATCTCCTGCACACCGGTTTCGTGCCATCCCCCAGGACATGACATTTCGCTGACATGGCTGACACATAGGAATTTCAGATATTGCAGGCTAAGCCGCTGAGTGATTAATATAATTGATATACCCTCTGGTAAACTAACATAGCGAAATGGAAAATCACCATGTTTAATGGGTAAATCCACTATAAATCACCATATTTTCAATAGCTATGTGAAATTACCAGAGGGTAACATCATCAGACCATGGTACACCAGTTCTGAATGGCAAATTCTCTCTTCCACTGCGCTTCGTTGTGGAATGTATTGTTGCGCAGTGGAGCCGCATGGAGCTGACTACCTGGGCTTTGGAATCTGGCCAAAGATCCTGTTGACATTAGAAGCAGAACAATGGAAATCAGAGATGTAGCTGCTGCAATTGTACTTGTAACATCTTGTAAAGTGTGTTTGTGCCTCAACAATATGTCTGTTGCTTGAAGTTGGTTTCAGAAAGACTTGTGCTTCGCGAGAGTCACCATGGATAGAATTTCATACATCAAGTGATATCAAGTGATATCAAGTGATGTGCAGCCTAATACAAATGTGGCATAAATGATACCTGTCAGGAAGGATTATGAACTCTTGTGACTCTTGTCCTGATTTTTCCTGTGAGATCTTTGGGCAGGAGCCCCGGACGTGCCGAATCTGTGACTTCAACCATGGCCGGAACAAAGTTGGGTTCCTTCCTGTGCTGTCCTCAGGCCACGCAATGACACCAGCCAGGCAGCCATGCCAAAAAGTCTGCGGGCTTTGCGGAATCCCCAAGTCACCATGGTTGTTTCAATACTAAAATGGAGTGAGCGACTTGGATGATTTGGGGGGTAGGGGCCCCTACCTTAGGAAACCTCCAGATATTCCAAACAGAAAATGTTCAAAACCTGACCATCTGACTGACCGCTCAGGTTGGTCATTGATGTCTCATGCTTGGGACCAGCCATGCCGTTGCGGTCTTTAGTCAGGCTGATCACAGCTGGAATTTTCTACAGAACAAATGGGGTGCGTTTTTTTTTAGATGATTTTGAAAGGCCATTGCAATGCGGATGACACAAAGTGAATAGGAAAGAAATGATAAGAACATATCAGAAACTATGTTCATTTCCTCAGTTCACACTTGACAAACAGACGGATGTCCGGATATCCTTGTAGTGGTTTGTTGTGAGTGACCATTAGATCAATCAGACTGCTACAAAACATGCAATGATAGCATCCAGAAAGAGCTTGAGAGGGTGAGAGGGAGGGCGATTTTGTGGTCAAAAGTAGAGGCCATACGTGATTCTTTTGCAACATGGTACGTTGATGATTTTGCAAGATGGATACAATAGATTCATGATTCTGCCCTTGCTGTATCCAAATTCTTTGCAGATGGGATCAACTCTGGCTCATCAATATGATAACAATCTTGAGACCGTCCCCTACAGTAGTGTTACTACTTCAGAAAGCTCAACTAAGCCCTGAGCAAACATGATTTTTTGTGGGTAGACTTCACCAGACCGATAGGCTTGGGAGCGCGGCATCGGCATTGGATTTCCTTCACCTGGGCTTTGCTTTGTTGCTCCATGGCTTTTCCCGCCCTGAGTCGAGATTCCCGGTGTGCGGGCAGGCGAGGCCAAAACCAAGCAAGAAAGAAACACTACTGGCTGTTTGCTAATTTCATCAATAAACTGAAAAGCAGCGTGGCAGATGTATTCAGAATGGCTCACGGCTAACATCACACTGAAGAAGGACTTGAAAGTGGTATGTGTTTAGCCTGTTTAGCTGACTGTGTTGCAGTGTTGGTGTTTCCTTGTGACAAATCGGTGCCAGGTTAACATGGGCAGCTCTATATTTCTCCTGGACTGGGTTCACTCGGGCCCAGTGCTGTCAGTGAGAGCCTCTGTGCGCATGGGTTCTGCGTCGTCAATGCTGGACTTCATGCATGCGGAGCAACTTGGAAGCACGCAGTGTGCCTTGTGTGCCTTGTGTGCCTTGTGTGCCTTGTGTATTGCCATGTATTGCCTATTGCGCTCCCTATTGCATCCCTGACAAAAATGATACGGGGAGTCCAGGTATGCACAATCATCCAGGTACTCGAAACTCGCTGTATCTCCCTGTTCTATCTTCATCAAGGAGGTTTGCGGTATTTTACGGTGGTTATGGGATTTCACATGATTTCACAGTGCTTACCAACAGTCGCCAGTGGCTGTACGTTGTGCCATGTTGTGCCATGTTGTGCCACACCCAGGCCATCCAACCTGTTCAGGTCGACGGCAGATTCTGTTCCCCAACCCCTCTGTGGCCCTATGTTTTACATGAATGTCAGCGTGTTTCCCTTATCGTTGATAGCCATATTTTGAGGACATCCCCTGAACTCTCAGATCCAATTGTTTGCTACTTATCAATGCTTATCATATTTCCACGTCTTGATTGCACCATCCGAGATACCATCCGGAATACCATTCCAAGCATATACAGTATGTGTATATGTACATATATATATATATAGATATACACACGCATGCGCAAGAAGATATTATCAATAGCAGATATAATGTATATATACACACCACACCATACTATTATATTCCATTTCCATTCCATTCTATTTCCATTCCATTCCATGTCCATTTCATTACATTATATCATAATATTGCATCACTATTATGATCATAATAATGATAACCATATATAATACAAGATGTCCACAGAATCCAAAGCCATGTTTTTGAGGTTCACATCGCTGACCCGATCAATGGCTCGCTTGGCTTCCACCGCCTTGCCCTTGAACTTCGTGCATTCGGCCTCGAGCACTTCAGTGAGGAGCAGTCGCTTACAGAAATGAGGGTTTCACTAAGAACGACGTGTTGCTTGGATTTATGATTTATGATGTATGATGATTCTCATATATATATATAGTAGATATACAAAGAGTGAGAGAGGGCTTCAGATATGTATGTTTGATCATTTAAATGCTGATGTATTTGCTGGTGTTGTTTTGATATTGATGCGACAGTTTTCGGATAAACACGTCCGTGATGGAAATCCGCTGGGACTCACTGGTATGCCAACGTGTTTCACAGGGATCCCAACGTGTTCTGTTCACAGAGATTCTTCATCTGGGTTTGTGTGAAAATAGGACGCCCCAAAGTCCCAGAGTTTATTCATGTTGATTCATGTTGATTCCCCCATTTCCCCAGTGAAAAGGGCTGGCAGGGTCTCTTTTTCTGCCCACTGAAAGAGACGCCGGCAGGAGCTTTGCACGTCCTGAATCACCTGTGCCCATGTTGGACTTCATGTGTGTAGAAAGCATCCCATTCATGCGAAGCCTTGCTTGATTGGGACTTTTGGTGTTTCCCCTTGATCATATACACCTTGGATCATCACTATTTGTCCAAAGTGTGGTGAAGCTCGACTTGATAACGCTGGCTGTTGATTTTGCTCATCCTGGTTTGTCTTCGTCGCTGCAATCCTTTGCTCGATTTGAACCTGGCATGTTGGTGTTGGATTTTTTACGCTTGGACTTCTTGTTGTTTCTGCAAAGCATTGGGAGAATCGGATTCTCTTTCTCCACCTTCGGCACCTTCGGTTGCCGTTTGGACTCGACCATGTCACTTCCTGACTATGCTTTCATGGAATCCTTGATGTTTCCTCAGAGTTTTAGCCATTCAGAGTTCTCCCTCTTGCTCATGGATTCTGCTCACTTTGGCTTCCCATTATTGCCTCAACAGTTTGCACAATCCGGTTCTGTTCCGTCAAGTTCCGGCCTTGTGAGGTTTGATTTCCTGCTGTCAGCCTTGGATTCTGTGGCCATGGGTCCATCTTCATCCCTACGAAGCTTCGTGCGCTTAGAATTCTTGATGTTGGTCCTGGATTTTCTTAGCTCAGACTTTCCCTTCTTCCCAAAAAGCTACGCATGTTTGGGCTTTGAGTTCTCAACCTACGGCAAGCTGTGGATTGGATTTTTCTTGCTATCACCTGACGATGTGTTCTTAGGATTTCTGTTGTTGGCACAAAGCTCAGCTTGCTTTGAGTCAACGTCATTGGTCTCAGATTCCCTGCACCTTGGACTCTCCTTGCTCCTGCAGCGATTTGTGCAGCCGGGTTTGGCATTTTTGACCTTCGGGCAAGGCCGTCTTGATTTCTTCCTGTTTTTGTCAGATGCTGCCCACCTTGGTCCTTCTCTTTTGCTGCGAAGTCTCGCGCACTCGGGCTCTCAGATGTTAGCCCTGGATCCTTTGCATTTGGGCTTGCCTATGTCGTTCCAAAGCCCCGTGCGAACAGATTCTGTGGTGTTTGCCCTTGATTCCTTGCATCTGGACTTTTCGCCGTTTCTGCATTCCATGGCACAACTTGACTTCATCACTTCAGTGATCGGCAAAGGTTGTTTTGACTTGTGCTTGTTGGTGCAAAGTTCCACGACACTGGGACCTATGTTCTTTGTGATGTCTTGTGCACGCATAGCTTTGCTTTTGCTAATCCTCGATTTCGCACAGCTTGAACTCCCAATGTTGCTTCACAGCTTCGGATGGTTAGGCTTCCCGCTGCTAGTTCTGGACCATTTGCAGATGGCCTTTCCAATGTCACTCCATTCTTTGACTCAGGTTGATTCTCCAGTGTTTGCTTCCGCTTATGCGAAATTTGGGTCATCAGTTCTTTCATTGGACTTTTTGCACATGGATTTGGTGTTGCCTCTCCAAAGCCTCACGTAAACGGAGTTGGCACCTTTGGTTCTTGACCTTTTGAAGCTGGACTTCTTGCCATTTTTACGAGGTCATGTGAGCCTGGGCCTTGCACCGTTGGTCTTTGGTTTGGCACGTACTGACTCTTTCCTCAGCCTATCCGCGATTGACGCAACCATCCTTGACTTCTCATTGTCAGCCCACAGCTGTGTACGTCCAGGTTCTGCCTTGCTGCTTCTGGACCTCTTGCATTCAGAACCATCCACCCTGTCACAAAGCTCCGGGTGTATCGATTCAGCTTTGCTGGTCTGTAGCAATGCCAGGATGGAGCCGCTACTGTTTGTGTTGGAGTTTGCTCAATCGGGTCTGGCCTTGTTGTTGCAAAGCTCCACTTATCTAGCTGCGTTGGTGTTAGCCCTGGACCTTCTGCATCCTGGTTCTACGTTGCCAGTGCACAACATGGTTCGCACAGGATTTGTTATGCCAATGCTGGATCCTTTGCACCCGGGTAGCTTCCTGTCACTGAGGTCATTTGCTCGCACGGCATTCGTGGTTTTTGCGGTTGGTGTGGCCTGAGCTGATTTCTTCCCATCAATCCCGGACTGTGCAACTTTGGAGTCATCCCTTCCTTCACACAGCATGGTCTGACTGGGCTTGGCTTTGTTTGCAGCAGATTCCGCACATCTCGATAGCCCTCTTTCCATCAGATCTCTTGCACAACTTGATCTGGTTCTTCTGGTCTTGGACTTCCTTCATTTGGACTCCCTGCTGTTTCTTCAAAGGTACGCCTACATTGAGTCCGCTGCCTCTTCTTTGGGCTTTGCAAAGTTAAATGGTTCGGTCTCTGCGTTGGATGCGATGCACCTAGAGTTATTCCTGTTTCCCCAAAGTCTTGCACATTTTGATTCGCCTTTGTTGGCACTTGATTTCAGCCATTTGGGCCTATCATCACTGGCACGGTCCTCCAGTCGTTTTGACTCCACCATGTTCACCCTCGACTTTCTACACCTGGGCTCTCTCCTTTTGCTGAGAACCATGGGATGTCCTGATTTGCCCATGTTGCTGTTGCAGTCTTCAAGGTCAGAATTCATGCCTTTCGTGTTGGACAGCACTTGCTTTGGCCCATTTCCACTTTTGCACAGCGTTTCTCGATTCGAATCAGCTCTGTCGGTGTTGGACCTTTTGCATCTTGACTTCGTCCTGTTGATGAGGAGTTCTGTCAAAGCCGGCTTTGTAATGCTCACTCTTGGCCTGTCACGCGCAGGATTCGTGTTCCTTCTGTCCGTGATTGATTGCATTCACTTGGGTAGCTCCATGCCACTGCAAGGCCCGGCATGAATGAATTTGTCGCTGTTAGTGCTGGACCTTCTTCATTTGGAGTTGACGCTCTTCCCAAGGGGCACTTCTCACACCGAATTTGGTTTGCTTGTCTCGGATTCTCTGCACTCGGGCTTTTTGCTGTTTCTGCATTCCCACAGTCAATCTGACTTCGCGATTCTGATTCTTAACTTCGGGCATCTGGGGCCTGTTTCATTTCCACAAAGCTTCGCCCGTTTGGAATCAGCTGTTCTTGCCCTGGACTTCCTACACCTTGACTTGCCGCTGAGCGTGAGGAGCTCTGTTGGATTAGGCCTCACCGTTTTACCACTTGGCATTTCAAGATCTGATTTGTTGCTTTCACTCCTTGAGAAGATCAGTCTTGGTCCTGTTCTATCAATTCAAAGTTTCGCATGTTGCGGCTTGGCATTGCTGGTTCTCGATCTTCTACACTTAGAATTCGTTTCGCCTGCTCACAGCTCTGGCCGTTTGGGCTTCACAGCCTCAGTCTTTGGCATGTCTTGACTTGGATCGATATCTTCAACACTGGATCACGTGGAACTCGGTTCTTCACCACCATCGCGAAGTTCTGCATGATTAGAGCTCCTTGTTTTTATTATATTTCGATTTGAAAAAAGATCAGGAATCAGTGGGAATCTGTGAAATTAGGGCCCGGACATGCTTTTGTTTTTCTTTGTTATTCTTGTGGTTGAAACTTGATTGAGATTCACTGCAGGCTTGTTTCGGCCTGGTGTTGAGGACTTGTGTTCAAGTAACCAAAGTGATCGGCGCTTCAAAATGTAAGAGGCTTGTGATACCCCAAGTCCTTTTTGTCTATTGAAGTTTGATAGGCCATTGAAATCCATTGAAACCATCCCCAGTTCGCATGTCCCATGGCTCCCATGGCTAAGGTCAGTGCCATCGGCCTTTGACCTTCTACATCCTGAGTCCGCTTTGTTGGTCCGAAGTCTCGTACGCCTTGGCTTACCTCCGCCCATTTGTTCATTTGCTGCCATGGGAAGTATTCCGTTTCTTGGTGGGATGAAAATGGATGAACTTTTTGCGTTAGGATTGCGCAGAAAACCCTCTAATCTTCTTAGATTCAACATGCTCAAATTAGCAACATGTGAACGAGAAGGGGGCTGAAATGGGCTGAAACAGCCAGCGAAATATCCACCTGCCATCCACCAAACTACCAGTGCTTTAGGTTGGTCCTGGACTATGTGCTGCTTGATTCATTCTTGTTGGCGCGTTCCATGGCGCAAATGGCTTCGGCGGTCTTTGTTTTGGACTTCCTCCGCCTCGACAGTTCCTCATTGCTGCGAAGCATGGCACCTTGGAGCTCAACGGGTGCCCAAATCCACGGGTTGCGCTTTCGACAACTGCTTTTGCGACGGATGATGAATGCTGTACACATTTAAGTACACATTTAAGTACACATTCATAATCATTTACACATTTGCAATCATTTGCAATCATTTGCATTCCACCCTCATTGATGTAAGCCTAGCATTCTGAGGCATACTGTGGATTTCTATCCTTGGCCTTTGGCATGAATCGCTTTGAGTCGATCACACCTGCGTGCCTTGCACCAAGCCGCGCCTAAGTCCTTGTTTGCCTTCGAATGCACTGCTATGCCTCATGATTCAAATCTGCAATCATAGCATATCCAAAGTATATCATAGTAAATCATGGTGTATCATAGTATACCACAGTATATCATAATGGTCATAGTTCCAATTTTCTTCAAAGATTGCTGTGATTGATGTCATTGGTGCCGCTTTAGTGCGCAGTGTGTACGGAGTGTACGCTTCACATCGTTGTGGATCGCCCTTCAGGCACAGCTTCTCTTTGACAGAGTCCATGCTTTCATTGTTTGGAATTGGCCAACCTGCATCCAGCCACTTGGAAAATCTTGGAAACACAAAATCGCGCTGCAAGAGTAGTGATTTTTTTGTGGACCTGATTGAAAGTGGCTACATCCAACACACACACACACACACACTTGCTCAGAAACAACATTGCGAATTTTGTTGTGGAATGCATCACACGTGCACAAAACAATCCCTTACAAACTGCCAGGAAAAAATTAGTTGATCCAGCGTGAATTTCAGTGCGAAGTAAGCTTTCTACGTCCTTGCTCTGAGGAAGGTTCTGATGCAGCTGAACCAGTTGTAAATAACCAAATAAATCCAGATAGCGACAACAGTGCAGTAGACAACCCTCAAGTGGAAAATATCGACGTGCCGGTTCTTGGCTTGGCCGGTTGCCATTGACGGAAATGAAAAATTGGTGCAGGTACGCAGATTGGCGTCCCAATCTGTATCACCAGATCAAATGGGTGTCTTCGTTGGTAGCGGTCCCAAATGATCTGCCGCTACCCCCTGCTTTATAAAGGATGTTTAGAAGTTTTACATCTTTACAGATGGTCCACACACACGCCTCGCTGCCGCGAGGCTGTTTTGGCAACTGAGGTCCCGACAATGAGATGAAAATGAAGAAAAAGGGAAATGAAAATGAGGTGAAGATGACAATGAGATGAAAGTTACTTAACCAGGACGCAAAGAGGGGAACGCAAAAGAAGAGGGAAAGAGCAAACACCAACACAAGAAACCTAGCCCAGAACGGGCAACTCTGGAAAGGCAAGGGAAAAGAAAAGCGGAGGCCGACGGAAAACGGAACAAGACCAGCGGAGGAGGGGGAGGACAGAAGCGCCTGAACCAACCTGACACGGCGAAAACCTACAACAACCTCAGCACGCAACGGGCCAAACCTACCTGGAGAGAGGAGAACGCAAGAACACATGAAATAGGGACCCATGGGGAACTAGTTAATGACATGATGCATCCGCAACGCATGCAGTATTCGTGATAAGGCTCAAAGGCCCTCGGCTTTCAAGTCACAACCCTCTGGACGGCTTACGTGTTCAACCCCTGAATTACGTGCACAATTGAACCTCACCAACGACCATCAAAAGAAAGAAAACCACACCTAAAGCATGTCCTGACGCCTCCACATGGATCCATGTCATGATGTATCTTGTCTGTCAAGCTCTCGAGCAACGTTGAAAAAGAAGGTTGTCGCAGCTTCAGGCTATGCAGTGAGAAGTCCACTGAAAAAATTGAAGCCCCACGGCGGCCAGTTGTTCAACCAAACGACAACGACAGGGTGAAAAGCGAAAAAAGGCCAGCAGTTCACTTTACTTAAACGAATTACTAATTCAAAAGTGTAAATTCAGACATCGATTTACTGTCAATTGTTAGCCTGGAAAGGCTTTCCCCGAAGGGTTCCTGCCAACTTGACGTATACAGCAGGAATGACACACTTGCTCAGAAACAACATTGCGAATTTTGTTGTGGAATGCATCACACGTGCACAAAACAATCCCTTACAAACTGCCAGGAAAAAAATTAGTTGATCCAGCGTGAATTTCAGTGCGAAGTAAGCTTTCTACGTCCTTGCTCTGAGGAAGGTTCTGATGCAGCTGAACCAGTTGTAAATAACCAAATAAATCCAGATTGCGACAACAGTGCAGTAGACAACCCTCAAGTGGAAAATATCGACGTGCCGGTTCTTGGCTTGGCCGGTTGCCATTGACGGAAATGAAAAATTGGTGCAGGTACGCAGATTGGCGTCCCAATCTGTATCACCAGATCAAATGGGTGTCTTCGTTGGTAGCGGTCCCAAATGATCTGCCGCTACCCCCTGCTTTATACAGGATGTTTAGAAGTTTTACATCTTTACAGATGGTCCACACACACACACTTGATCAGAACTGTCGTTGCGAATTTTGCTGTGGAATGCATCGGACGTGCAAAATACACCAACACAACAACATAACACGATGAGATGAGACTAAATATATCTATATATGTACTCACAGTAGACGTTGACGGTATAAAACAACAGCGATAAAATATATGGGTATGGATCAATACCTATTAATACCATTTTTAGGGGGATGAACATCCATTTACCAGCTATTTTGATGTTCACCAGGGGTACAAGGTTTTGACACACTGCCACATGTCCCCCCAGCTGCGACTTAGATGCGCCCAGGGGTGGGACTATATTATACGTGCAGGTACAGGAATGTGCGTCCACATTCCCTTCCAGCTGAATCCCATAGCTTCGTTAGCATGGCTAGGGAAACAGCTGCCATGCCCCATGCAGCAAGAAGCTTTACATCTATACAGATGGTCCACACACACACCCTGCCGCAGCAGGGTTGATGAAATGAAGGTGACAATGAAGTGAAC